GGGGTATCCTCTGGCGGGCAAAATGGGATTCACTCGTGGGCCGTGATTTTAGAAAGAACTGAAGATATTCAAATGCACTTTTATGCAGGCAAATATTAAGTGAAGTATCAACGTTACATATAGTACTAGCACCCATCACCCATGTCCTGACTCAGCTGAATGTGTTGATGAATGAATGCTTAGAGCAGCATAAAGTCTGCAGAAGTAGCTGGTTTGAAACCTGTGGAAAGAAACAGTAAAACAATGATGTAACACAAAGTGTCTTTCTCTAAAGGATCGACTACGGTGACAGCTACTGGAGGGTGAAGAGGAAGTACTTCAGCTGTCAGTGTGGCTCTCTGAAGTGTCGTTACTCTGCCGGCAGCAGGTGATCTGTCCACCTGCCTGTGTGGAGAACGTTCTGGAACTGACTGAAACCTGAACAGCACACCTCACAGGAGTCCAGTGTGTCAGAGTGCAGCTTTCAGACTGAAACTTGGTGTAGGAACCAAATGTGAAGTGTTTAACTATGACTATATGGTGTACACATGTTTCTGTGCTCCTGCCCCAACCAACATGGAGCTGAGCACACATTCTGTGTGTGGAACCTGGAGTAACCCTTGTGTTGTGTTCTCAACATTCATATGTGAGGCCCCTGGGGTGGGGTGGAAAATAACATCAGGAATGACAGGAAATTATTTTAAAGGAGTGAAATATAATTTCCACAGATCACGAGCTTTAACTTATTTATAGACAAATAATGTTTGGCTAGATGACCTTTAATAGTTTTGTAATCTTAACTTTTGTAGAATTAAAACTGCAAAATGTCTCATGAAGAATGATTGTTTTTTTTATAATCTGGTTAGTTTTTACACACAGATTTTACCTTCCTTTTTTTTTTTTTTTAGCAAATAAAACCTTTTAAAGCTTCTGTTTCAGTTATTTTGTGTTGATCAGATGTGAGGGGGCTGGCCTCATGGTGCTGAGGGTGGACCTGGTTCACAGTAACTCACCTGAAGTCACTTTAAATGATCACAGGAGCTGAAATCATTAAATTAATACTTCAAACTAAATAAATCAGTCGTGTGTGTGTGTATATTTCCTACAACGTGTAGACAATTTTCCTAAAAAAAAAATTGCCTCGTGGGGACCACTGCCAGGTCCCCACGGGTCCAAATGCATGTTMCAGGTGTGGGGTTAGGTTTAGGACCAAGGTTTAGGTTAGTTTTAGGGTCAGGTAAGTTTCTGTGAGGTTAATTTTAGAGTATATGGTCAGGGTTAGGCTATAAAGTATAAAAAAACGAATGGAAGTCAATGGAAGGTCCCCACGGAGTCGAGAAACAAACGTGTGTGTGTGTGAGAGAGAGAGAGAATGTACATACAGTTAAACCAGAAGTTTACATACACTATGTAAAAAGACAAATATGAATGTGAAATCAGAATAAACCTCTCCCATTTAAAGTCAGGATTACCAAAATATTTTCTACTTGCTAAATGCCAGAACAGTGAAAGATAAAATTTTAAGGTAATTTTTATTACTTTCTTTAAAATCATATTTAAATACCCTGATTTGTATGCCTTTAAACGATTTAGGACATTTGATGTCATGTCGTTTGAAGCTTCTGATGATAACATCTGAGTTAATTAGAGACGCACCTGCGGATGTAATTTAAGGCACACCTGAAACACTGATTCCTTGTGTCTTGGAAAAGTGGAAAGAAATCAGTCAACATGCAGTATCAGGAAGAGTATTGTGGACCTGCACAAGTCTGGTTCATCTTGGGTACAATTTCCATGTTGGAAAAATATGCGTTGTTCAAAATGGTATGTTCGAATAAACAGGATTCAGCTGGGTTTCTTGTTAAAACTTTATTTTTGATCTTCTGACTCCAATCAGGTTCATTCAGCTCTCAGCAGCACAGGCCTCAGTGTACAACCTTGAGCTGAATCAAAACAAACACAAGAGCTCTGCTCTGAGCAGACACTCTGCAAAACACTGACAACTTCTTTCTACTATAATAATGAATTAAGCTTATAATGTTCATCCCTTCCTGGTTACACCCCAGAGGTGTTACCTTTKACGTCAGACGTCAGAACGTCACTCAGTTTTGTTTAGACTAAGAGAAAGAACACATGGTAACACAACAACTCTTTGTCAGCTTCAACCTTACAGACTGAAATGATCAGAAAGTATAAAATACAAAACTGAATAATAATAATAATATTCAATTAATCAGTTATCAAATTTCTTCATTCCCTCTTGAAATATGTAAAATATGTCAAAACAATAAGAAATTTTATGAAAAC